CGCCTGGCTCCGCGCTGGGCGCGGTGTCACGGGTGGCGTGGGCAGCCTCCCACGCCCAGCCTGCTCGCTGCGCCCCGTGGGTGCTTCCCGGGAGCCAAAGCAGGCACCGAGATGGATAAAAGGTGAAGTTAGCAGCACCTGCCTGGGCTCGCAGCTGTGACTGTGTAGGTGGAGCAGCCCTGAGTTGTGTCCTGCTTGGTGCGCGGTCATCTTACGGAAACCCTCTTCTGCACAGTGAAAGGGCTCTTGCTTAAAATAACCCATTTGTTTGGGGTGTTTTCCCCCGTAGTTAATAGCACTACCCCGTCCTGTGGTCTTGCTTTGTTCCGCAAATGATAAGCCTTTACCCCAAGCAGTGGAACTTGATGTATGTCTGTATTTTTTCCTCTCCCTCGTTCCAGTGAGGAACTTGGAAACTGGCAGAAGCACTCCAGGAGTAAAGATGTTTTTTGGCCGTGAAATAGTCAATGGTGAGGCTTTTCTTACCGCATTTTGGGGCACGGGGAATCATGCCCGCTCTTAGTTCAGTTCATTTTAAATCTGTTTTTTGGTCACTCTCTGAATTCTTCAGTTGTATATCTTTCTTCTAAAATCAGTAGGAATTAGAATGTTGTATAAATCACACAACTTTTGTTCCCCAATTATCTGTCAGTGGAATAATAATTGCCCACTTTGTGAAGGTCTTGTGACTGTACTGCATTAAAGCTTATTAATTAAATAATGAATGTAAGTCCAGTAAGACTACTAATGGAAGTAATGACTCTGAAGGTAATCAGCTGAGATAAGTGTGGCCCCTGTTTATGTCCTGAAGGCAAGTTACATTCATTGTGTATGTTCTTACATGTGCAAGACTTTCACTAATGGACTCTGCTGGGAAGTTAAATTGCTTAAAGTTCTAGTTAACTTGGTTTTGCTTTTACTCACCCAGGCAAAAGTATCTCTATTAAATGGTCTGTTTATCTGAGCCTCTTCCTGTGATTCACTAGTGATAAGAATATGGAATTGTTTAAGAAAAACATCTCTAGTGTATAAAGGTCCTGTACTTTTCTGTTGGCATCTGCTTTGCTTTGGCAACAAGGAGCAAGTGTTGAGGGGGAAATAGCTAGAAGGCAGCTATTGGACTTACCAAGTGATAACTGACTCCATTCTGCCTTTTTCCTTGTACCTGCTTTATTGTATATGTAATAGCCTGGAAAATAATTAGTTGTAGTTTGATACTGACTTTGGTTTTGGTGGGATCCTAAACTATTAGTCTTGTTTAAATGCTAGAGTTCTGAAATACACCTTATCTAGGCTACTGATGTAAGTTATTTTATACAGATTTCTACATCAGAGCGAATTTAAAATTATTTAAACTATACTTTGAATTCAATTTCTTTTTTTGCATGTATGGCCACGTCCTACAGTGGTTAGTATTGGTCATGGTTCTCCTTTTTTTGGGAGATAACAAGTGTCAACAAGTTGCTTGTCGGCACTAGAGTATAAATTGTTTGTTTCTATTGCAGTGGAATTGCTGGATGAACCAGATTCAGGGAAGGGAACAGCAATGCTCTCTGAGTACGTTGAAATGTTTCCTTCCTTTCACGGTAGGAGAAAGGGTGGGATGTGCTTGCTAGGGGAGCCACCACTTACATTTAGTATAATACTGAGTTCAGACTCATCTATGACGAGTTTGTATTTCTCTGTTTTAAAGAGGTGAACAAGGTGGTGAGTGGAAGACCTCTACTGTGCAAAAGGTTCTTTCAAGCTATTGCTTACAATTTCTCTCTCCTGCTTTTTTTCTTTTTTCTTTTCTTCCCAGTAGTTCCTAGGTAGAAGAATTTGCTTGGTTTGTTTCCTTGTCAGCTTGTGGTTTCAGGGAGGATTTCCCATGAGCATTTCTTCTGTGGTGGAACAGTTTCAGGACAATTGCACAGGGAATGTTTGGTTTATACAGATGCTCTCAAAACATATATAAATGTGTCTTTGGGAAGCTGGTAAAAATATGTTTCAAACTCCTGCAGTCCCCTGATCCTAGATGGCTTTGCTTTGAGTCCTCTCACAAGACCACATTTGAATAATTTGTTCTTCTTATGAGAAGTAGGAATGAAGTGCTGTCTACTGAACAGTCGTTAAATATAGTTAAAAAGCACATAGAATTGTGATTAGCAGCAGTCCTCTTGCTTGCTGCTGTCTTGTCTTCTTTCTCCCAGTTAAATAAGCCTACTTTCACACATACTTGAATGTGCTCACTTCAGCAGCAGATTTCTGTGTTAACCCTTTAAATACATGATTTTATATACAAGATTCTTCAGCTACATCTAAAGGCTGATCAGAAAGTTTTTTTATGTTTTATTCTATTGAGATAGGTACATGACTGGAGCTTTATAATCATAATGGGATGGTTTTCTATCAATATAAGGAAATTTACACTAATAAGTCATATTTCCCAGTGAAGTATTCTTGACTTCAGACTGTCCTGTTGTAGAAATTATGCATCTTATATGTGACATCTTTCAGTCAGGTGAATGTTTACTAACTTTTTTTTTTTTTTTTGGTCCTGAGATGCTACCATTTTATATGATTTAATAATTTCCATTTTATTACAGTAAAGTTTCACTGGATATAACTGTTTTACATATTGGTGAACTTGTAAAATTGCTCTCCAATTACAGTAACTAATGGATTAAATATTATTGATTCAGTGTAAAGACTTACAAAGATTTAAATTGCATGGTTCTTGGGCTCAGGTCAGGTACTTTGTTCTTTATACTTTGAACTCTTTCTTCCCTTGAAACCGTTGCTGACCTTTGCAGCAAACAACCGTTCAGGTTCTGCTTTCACCTTTTACTTTCAGTATAAATGTGAAATTTTATCTGAAATAAAGGCCCTTCTGTGCAAAATAAGCTTATTGTTAGGTAGGTTCAAGATCTTCTTTAAGACCTGTGCACATTCGACTGCGAAGTTGCTTCACATGCAGCAGTTCATTGTCTGGATGCAGATAGATGGCATTAAATGAAATAATTTCCTTTATTAAGATGTCCATGCTGGTGGCATGTGTAATGTTTTGACTTCTGTGCTATGTACGGTTGCCTTGCTCATGCAGGTGCACTTCAGCTGTTGAAGGGAACAAACAAGCAGACACAGGACCAGCAGATTGTGGCCCATGGAGTTCTCCTTGTGTTTCCCTAGAGAGCCAGCTCAGAGCCTCAAATAGCTTAAAATACTCTCTCTCAGGTAATGTGGATGTTAGTCAAGCAGTGTAGTTTGTCTTAGTCAGACAACATTTCTCCCAAAGGTTGTGATCTCTCTGTTCACTTGTATCAGAACAGGCTGTATTCTGAAAGAACAATGGTCACAGAAAGACAGGTACAGAGCTCATTATGTGCAGGCATTCTCTTTGCCTGCAGATATGTTCACAACAGCAGAAGGAAACTCATCTGCTTTCCAGAATGTTTAACCTGTAGCTCTCATCAACTGTAAAAGTGGTTGAGCAGCACAACTGATCTTTTGGAGAAATCAAAGTGCTGCAGCCAGCGAGCATTCCTCTCTGGTGACTGTTTTAATCTTATACTTCTTCCTGAAATGTATGTGGCATGATAGGTAACTCAAAGCTCAATAAGACTATTGCTCTTTGGTTCTGTGCTGGCTGTCACGTGCTTGCATTGATTTGGGTTGTGTGGTTCCTGCTGTGTACACATATACAGGTACAGATCCAAAATGTGATCAGCTCACTCTATTCTCGTAGAGCCGTGACAAGAGTGCAAGACCTGTACAAGCTAAAGGAAGGTTAGCTGCATTTACCTGGGTAGCGGGGGCAAAAAGAAGCAAGGGTTGATGTGATCTGGGAGAGCCTTTAAAAATTTCTTCTTAGGATCTTTCAATTGACTATTATTTTAGAGTTTAGAAGAATGTCCTTGTGTTGTCGTGGATGCGTATTATTAACATCTGCATCTTACCTAAAGAGAAGGGAGAACCCTTCTTTACCTTTTCATTAGACATTGCTAAGCAGGTGTTAAAAAATATTAAAACCTGGCTTAAATTCTCTTTGCCCCCTTGATCACTTAGTTGTCTGTTCTGTGGTGTCACTGTCTGTTAGTTTTGTCTTTGTTACAGTCTTTTTCCTTCCCTGGACAAGCCTGGGAATTAGGGTGCTTTTTTTTAAATTGATGTAATTTTTTAAACTGAAATCTTTTTGTTTCTTTTATGCATCATAATGACAAAAAGTAATGTTGCAACTCACTTTTAAACAGTTTTCTATCAAAAACCGGAATTTTGGCTCATGCTCTAGACTGTACGCATCTGAATCAGACAGTTCCATAATCTGTTTGGGTGTATTCAGGAAGTAGAGAGGGAAGAACTGAACAGCTAAATGAGAAAGGTAGAGAGATTATACAACTGAAATGCATACTTTGTGCAAAGTTTATTCAAGTAGAGGGAGCATCTAATTTTTTTTTTTCTTCCTTTTAGAGAAGAAGGAAGAAGAGAATGTGGAGTACACAGTTGTTGATTGTTTCCAGCAGAAATTTGGCCCAGCAGTAAGTACTAATGAAAGCTCTTATGCTGCATGTATGACTTCTGAGCCTGTTCCATTCCAATTGTCAGTAGATCCATTAGGTGGCAGGATTGTGAGCACTGCCTCATGATGTCTTATACTGGAAATCACTTTTGCAGACTGTAGTGAAATTTGAGTAATAGGTAGTAACTGGCTGCTTTAAGTCAAGTAGAAATGGTATCTCTGGTGGCATCAAAATCAAGTGTGAATAGATGAAGCGAAAGAGTGCAGTGCATGTGAGTTTGCAGTGGCTAGACGTGAATCTGCATCAGTGTGTGTTGGTTGCTGTTTTCAGACTCTGTCTCACCAGTAACTGAGGTGAAGTGTCAGTATTACTATTTAGTGAACAGTTGTTTCGTTTTGGAAGGGAACAACATGAGGTTTTGTTGGCTTTTGGAGAGGGAATTGATTGTGTTGCTTTTGTAAGTGTTTGGAACTCCAGAGGTGCCTGGACCTTTCTCTCCTAAATCATATATAACAACATAAGCAGGTAGAAAGCTTTGTTTACGAACTTGGAGCTGATGATAGATTTATTATCAAATTTAATAGCATTTCTTAGATTCTAAATTAGACCAGCAATACCATAGGTCCTTCATGCCATTTTGTCTTGCAGTAACATCAGTTGTGATTTGGGCTTGTTATGGTAAATCTATTGCACATACAGAGGAAAAAGCCCTTGCCCACAGGAAGAGACTTCCCTGCTTACAGAGGAATCTAACTGTTGCTTGAAAAAGAAGCTTGTTTTTTTATTTCTGTTTGTGCCTTCTGCTCTCGTGTTACATGCACGCTACAGGTTGCTTTAATTGTCTGAAAACTTCGTGCCTGAGAGAGTAACAGGTTTTTCCTTTATACCTTAGAAAATGAGTTCTCCTTTTTAACTGAAAGGAACATCTTTATGTGATCTTAAGGAAGTTCCTCAAACCCACTTAGGAGAATTTCTTGGGAGGAGATCAGGGGAGTCTATAGTCTTCAGCTATCCATACTGTCTGCTAAACCTATCATTGATGTTTCTAGTTGCAGAATTTCCAGCTGTCTATCTGTAACTGGACTGCTACTGTGGTCTGTTTCTCTTGGATCACTGTATAACAGAGCTTCATTGTGGTTTTGATCTGTATTTATGTTTTTAAATATGGATCATGACCAGAAAAATCGCAGTTTACTAGTTGTCCCTCTGCCTATCATTCTCTGACACTATTTATTTTATCCCTGTGTTTTTCATTAGGTGCTGCACCTAAAACAGCAGTGTGTTGTCAGTATCGCAGGAGAAGGTGTTAATTTGTGTCGTCATGGAAGACTCTCGTGGCTTGAGGTAAGAGGCAGATATTTCCCAAAACGTGCCACTAAACAGAGGCATAACTGAGAAACATTTGGGCGTTAGCCTATGTTTAAGACTTACTCAAGTAACTGTTTTGGTAAGGGATATGATGTTCTTCAAGACAGATGAGGTATTTCATAAAAAACCTGTTATGGAAAGAATTATGCCATTATAAGGCAATATAATAATTACTTAACTTGTATGTAATATATACATTTGTATATAACAGTGTAACATTTGGTTTGTCATCTTTATATACTTGTATACAGGTAATTACAGTAGTACAGCTGTTACCTATTGAAAAACTGCAAGACCTAATCACAATGCCAGTGTAATTGAAGGAGTAAAATCCATCTAAAGATGATACAGTATCTTAATTAGCTGTGATATTATCAACATCTGAAAAGGAAGGGACAGAAAGGAGAATAGCTTAATATGTTAGCTCAAAATCATCTTAGTTTATTTTTAAATCGGTTTAAAAGTCTGTTTATCCAAAGCAAAAATTTGTGTGGGAGTTCAAGCTTCAAACTTAACTCGTTTATGCAGAAGTAAGTGTCCACAAAATGTTTGCTTTGCTATAGCTAAATTGATTTTAAATAACAGCTTTTGTTAAACCATTATGAATTTGAACATAGGCAAAACCTAAATTTTTATATCCTGTTTGAAATGCTAGGATGGAAAACAATGTCCTTATTTCTTTGGTAGTGGTCTTTGACAATGAAATGTTATGGGCACAAGAGTTTTGTTGGAAGTGGTTCTTTAAAAATGTCATCATAATAGGTGTAGGAATTTATTTTGCTCTTGATGTCTCAAAATGCTGTATTTAATTGTGTACAGTAGACTCCTGGGTCATTCTTTCTAATTATTGTGAGAGTCTCTGAGCATCTCTGGAAAAAGTAAGACTTGTTTATGGATTTTTTTTTTTTTTTTGATGAAACCTGCTCTCCCCAACATGAGCCTGTACATAGGTTATTATGGCTTGTGGGAAACAGTGCACTCTCTCCTACTTTCAAATCCTTTGTTCTTCTGCCCTCACTCATTTTCTCTCCAACTGAATTTGTTGTAGATAGCAACGAAGAGCCGTATTTTTCTATTTGACATCTTCCTTCTGGGACCTCAGGCTTTCAAAAATGGATTACAAATGGTGCTGGAAGATAAAAACATCTTGAAGGTAAGGGTATAGGGTGTGTGAGGACATTTGTAGTGGCAGAGGTCATATACATATATAAGGATCTAGCTGCACCAAAAAAGTTGCAGTTGGCCACACGTTTGTCTGACAGCTCTTTCTTGCTTCAGGTCATGCATGACTGCCGCTGGATCTCAGACTGCTTCTTTCACCAGTACGGTGTCCTTCTCTTCAATGTTTTTGATACACAGGTACCCTTCAGATATTCTGGTTGGGAACAAAAGTTTCAACAAGAGGAACTTCAGCCTCATTCAGGGTATTCTCTCAGAGTAGTTTTAACATTACTAGAATGTGACAATTGTTGAACCATGTAAATGTAGCGGTTTTGTTCTTGGTAAAAAACAGCAGGCAAGGCTGACAGTGTTACTTAAGAGTCTTGTGTAGACCCATTTTAAAAGGTAGTTAATATCTAATATTAACAGCAAGTGTAATGTGGTTTTTTTAAGATGTATTAACTGGTCTTGATCAAACTTGGCACATCCTGAGGTTACTGTCACTTAAGCAGAAGTGAGGTCGGCTTGTGCTTTATATTTGTTACTCTCTCTGCCCCTTTCGCAAGTGTAGAAAACAGATTCAGGCTACAAGTATCCAGCACTGGGAAGCACCTGCTAATAAAAGCAGTGGTGGCAGTGAGAGAACAGGCCAGGTTACCACAAAAATCTGTTTGGCTGGTGCTGGCCCTGGCAGTTGTGGTAGTTAATGTTGTGTGACTAACAGGAGAATTAGAGCCTTTTGAGAGAGAAGAAAATAACATAATGGCTATGATCTTTCATAATGGGTATGGATATGTTATGCATAGTTAATGTATGACTTGTCCTTGCCTGTATACTGACTTTTCATGTCGTAGATATGACTGCCTATAATAACTCTCCAAACCCTAATCTGGGCTATGTAGCTTTATACAGCAGAGGTTTCTCTCAGTACCTTTCGGATCTGAGAGATCCGAAGTTTGGCCTTTTGCCCCTAAAAACTATGTTATTCCATTATAGGTCAAATATCAGTCCCTGTTAAGTCTTGACTGAATGAAAAAGGTAGGGGTGAAAATTTGCACCAGCGCTCCCAACTGTACTGGCTAGAACATGTAGCTGATACAGTGGAAGTAACTACCCAGAACTGTCCACCCTAGGGTCTGAGGTACACAAAATTGTACTCATTGTTCTGTTGTCTTGGTATGAGCTGACGTGCATGCTTTTCTTGCACTGATAGATCTCTAGGCTTAGATTCGATTACTCTGATTCATTGGCCTGAATCCTACTTCTAATCTAAGTAAGCTAGTGAAGTAGTCTGGTTTTGGCTGCCCTGCTGTGTACCTGATATTGTGGAATTAAGCTGTCTTGTCTTCTACTCTGTACTACTGGAGCAAATAACTGGGAGATACCTTTGAGCAAACTCTCATGGATGCTTTTTGTGAAGCACTTCTTAGAGACAGCTTCTCAGTGTTAAACTTGGAACAGGCTGTGTGCACAAGTGAGACTCTGCTTAAAAAACACAGCAGTGGAATGAAGAACTCTGTATTAGATGGGAACCTGCCTGCATAATTTGAAAAGTGTTATTTATCCCTGCTTTTGGCCAGTTGCTGCAACTGTTTATTCCTTGCAATAAGTAACCTAATATAATTAACACAACATGTAGAGGATGGCAGTGAAAGGTTTCTGATGTTCACTGACTGTCTTCCCCCCCGATGTTCTTATAATACTTAAGCATCCCCTGTTGAAGTAACTTTTAATGATAATATTTGTGGAAGTCTGATACTGCTATTTCACATTTGACTGCCTTGGTGTGTCTGTGTTTGTCCTTGTTGGGCTATAGCAACCTAAAAAGCTGCATAGTGAGCAGACAACTGGCTATTGTCAGTGCTTACATCCCTAACATTGCCTTCTGGGACACTTCTACACTGCATCATGGGGCTAGAGCATTCTCACGCTCTGAAATCCCTGCCTATTGTAAAATGTTGTTGGTTGCAAATCTGTGTGCTACCAAAAGTAATAAAAGAAAGAATACAATTCTTCCTAGAGGTATGTACTGAAAGAATAAAGAAAATTTGACAGCTTGAGACTTTCCATAAGGCAGAGGTCCATGCAAGGTTTAATCATAAAATGTACAAGTGAAGAAGTCAATGTTGCTGTCTGATTCCACAGATCAATGCACATATGCTGCTCTTTAGTGTGTCATAGTTTTTCTGCCCTTGAATCCAAGCCATTAGCATGCAGTGACTTTGGACAAAGATTTTCACAGTGAAAGCTAAAACATGGTTTTCATTGTAGGCAAGTTTATTCTATAACTTTGTTCATTCAGATGAGACTTTTTATGAATATTGATCGCAAAGATGCTTTCATTTTTGTTTAAATATTTGAGTCTTTTCTCTCCTTGTTTGGAAAGCATTGAAATTTTTTACTAGGAAGTCTCTCTCTAATCATCTAGAATCATGGAATATATTTCCATACATTTGAACATCATCTTTGTTTTGACTTTGAGTAAAAGTAACTTACTGCTTGAGGGCGTCTTTCCTGAGGTTCCTCTTCATCTGCATTTGGCCGCTGAGAGCAAAAAGCCAGAGAAGGTTTTAGTCATCAAAAGTACAATCCTAAGGACTGTTCAGTAATGAGTGGTGGAAACTTCCTCTTTATCTGGTGATTTGTGCTTACAATCCAGTGAAAGTCAGCTTCACCTGGGTCTTCTCCATTTTCTTCTCTTCAGTGAACTCATCAGCTTGAATTGTTGCAGTTCCTTTCTCCAGGCATGTTTCCTGCCACTTTTCAGCTGGTGGTTGTAGACTTCTTTGGACTGCAGCAATGTAGTCAGCCTAGCAGAAATATAGACAGTCCTAGATTCTCTGTCCTACCACAGAACATGGGAGGTCTCAACATTTCTTTCCTTAGTCCAAGATTGCTTTTTCTACTTGTGATGCTCTGATGTTTTTCATTTTCTTCATAATACCTTCATACAATCTTTTATTCCTTGGAAATTCAGTAAATGGATTCGCTTAGCACTTTCTTCTGGTAGGCTTAGCAAATACATGGCTTTTCTCCCAGAGAAGGCAGCAGTTAGCTATTGAGATGATGCCTTAGAGGCAGCTTTAGTCATTAATAATCATACCAGCTGGTTTGCCTTTGCTATGGGACAGGAGGAGATTCCCCCCTCCAAAGACTTTATAGATAAAAGTTAGGAATGGGGGTTTGGTCTTGGAATTTACCCTCACTGTAAGAGGCCAGAAGAAGTCAGTTACAATTCTGTGGTCACTGTTGCAGGGGCTGAGCTGGTGCTGCCAAGCACTATGTGGTCTGGTTTAGGTAGTACATGAGGAGCATGTGGTAGAACAGCTCAAACAGTGGCTTCAGCTGTAACCCTTGCAGTAAAACTGGGCTGCCCTGTAAGCTCATGGTTTTGTTGGTGGGATTGTGCATGCTTGTGTTGAGTGTTGGCTCAAGGTTTCTGAGAGTAGTAAGGGGAAAAGGGCTATGAGAGGCCAGTGGGGATTTCAGGGGACCAGAGTGGGAATCTGGGCTTCTGAGTAGCAAAGGAAGTCTGAAGGGTAGGTTGTACTAATGACAGACAGCTCAGTCTGAGATTTTGAGTGTGGAGGTAGGCTTTTTATTTTTTCATCTCCATTCCCCTGGTGAGTGGACTCTTCCAGGCTTCCTGTTTCCATTGTCTTCTCTCTGCAACTGTTGCAGTAGTCCCACTCATCTTTGTGTTCCCTGTTTAGGGACAAGAGTCAGGGCTCTTCCTGCTTTTACTGCAAAAGGGTAAAAGGGATGAAACCAGGATGAGAAACAAGCAAACACCATGCCATGCAGTCACTGCTGGAGACTGTTGTCTGCTTCCCTTGTGGCTCTGTATGCTGTCAGAGACAAGTCTTACTGGCAAAATCAGGTTTTAGGCTTACGTATTCTTTCATCATATTTTCCTTTCATTGCATCACTACTTCACGTTTTAGATAAAAGGCAAGACCATAAGTATCCTGGGAAAGTATCACTGTGTTTCTCTTTGGATACTCCTCCTAACCACCTGCTGTTCGGAGACAAGAGTACTGGGCTAGAAAGAGCCTTAGACTAATACACATATAACTTCTATAAGTCATTCTTAAAACTTAATTTACCCTTTTGTGTAACTTAACAGCTTTAAGGAGTCAGATTTTTAGCTCTGCAACTGTATGTAGTCAAAATGAGGATTAATTTGTTTGCTGCGTACTTTAATTCTAATATGCATCCTGACTGTCAAACCTCCACGTTCTTTGCCTTGGGTTAATGGGACGCTGGTCATGGTGTATTGATTCCTTCCATCACAGGTTGCTGATGCTCTGCAATTCTCAATGGCAACAGGTGGCTTCCTTCCGCACCGAGTCTGCACATTACAGGAGTGTTTGATGCAGCACTTGAAGATACCTTCCAAATCGGATGCCATCATGAAGTGCAGGCAGCAGATGGCTTCAGTAAGTGAGGCATGTTCTGAGGACTCAATTGTGCTTTGCCCGTCTTGAGATGTTTCTGTCAGGTTTTTTTAAGAGCATGGCACTATGCAGTGGTCAAATTGCTGTAATAAAGGACATTTTGTAACACTGACTTGGGAGACAGATGCAAGCTTTAGTTGTCATCAGTGCTTATACTGGTATTTCCTAATAGCTCATTTGAAATTGAGGTTTTGAAGAACCACAAAGCTTGTACAATAGAGGATATATATAACTCGGGTAAAAAATGTTCCAGATATCTTTATATATTTGACTAATTCTGAAACCTAGTCCCAACAGAACAAGTCGGTTAAAATGAATTGCGAGTCAAGCAGGGAAAGATGAAACTTTTCTTGCCAGCGCTATTAGAATGAAAAAATGAGAGTAGTGATTTTTTTCTTGCTTGTGCAGTTCAGCAGCATTTGCCAAATCATTATTCTCTATTTTCCTTGTTTTTGTTAATCTTTCAGATGAGGACAAGCAAGGGATAACTTAATGGGCCAGGACCCCCTAAGATTTTGGGAACATAAGCTTGATAAGTAGAATAGAACAGAATAGACTACTTCAGTTGGAAGGGACCTATAGCAGCCATCTAGTCCAACTGCCTGACCAATTCAGGGCTGACCAAGTTAAAGCATGTTATTAAGGACATTGTCCAAATGCCTCTTAAACACTGACAGACTTGGGGCATCGACCACCTCTCCAGGAAGCCTCTTCCAGGGTTTGACCACCCTCTTGGTAAAATGCTTCCTAATGTCCAGTCTCAACCTCCCCTGGCACAGCTTTGAGCCATTCCCACATGTCCTGTAACTGGATACCCAGGAGAAGAGATCAGCACCTCCCTCTCCACTTCCCCTCCTCAGGAAGCTGGAGAGAGCAATGAGGTTGCCCTTCAACCTCCTTTTGTCCAAACTAGACAAGCCCAAAGTCCTTAGCCGCTCCTCATAGGCTATTCCTTCCAGTCCTTTCACCAGCTTTGTTGCCCTCCTCTGGACGCATTCAAGGACCTTCGCATCCTTCTTAAATTGCGGGGCCCAGACTGCACACAGTCCTCAAGGTGACGCTGCACCAAAGTTGAATACAGCGGGATAATCACCTGTCTTGAGCGGCTGGTTAGACTGTGATGCACCCCAGGATGCGGGTTGCCCTCTTGGCTGCCAGGGCACGCTGCTGACTCATACTGAGCCTGCTGTCAACCAGGTACAGAATCCAGCATTTCAACTTGTTACATTTCATCCCATTAATCATAGCCCAATGCTCCAGTCTATCTAGATCCCTCTGCAAGGTATCTTGTCCCTCAAGAGAGTCAACAGCACCTCCCAGTTTGGTGTCATTAGCAAATTTGCTAATGATGCATTCAACTCCTGCATCCAGATTGTTGATAAATGTATTGAACAGAACTGGCCCTAGAATTGAACCCTGAGGAACACCACTGGTGACCAGTCACCAGCCAGATGTAGCCCCATTCACTACAACCCTTTGAGCTCTGCCCTTCAGCCAGTTGTTCACCGAGCACACCGTGAATCTGCTCATCCTGTAGTTGGACAGCTTGTCCAGAAGGATGCTGTGAAGGACAGTATCAAAAGCCTTATTAAAATCCAGAAAAACTACATCCACTGCCTTCCCTTCACCCACTAGGCAGGTGACCTTGTCACAGGAGGATATCAAATGAGTTAAATGAATAGTATATAAATATGCTAGTGCCAGCTGTGGCATCTTTTTGCTGGGTGTTTAATTACCTGACCTTGCTTTCGCGATGGGGGACGTGACTTCCAAAGAAGCTATTAAATACAGGAACTAGATACTTAATGAGACCTCACTATATAGGCAGGATTTCTTTACTGAATAGGAACAATCTTTTTCCTACCAGAGTGTTTTTTCTCCCTTCATACTGGTCTTGTAACTTCCTGAGTAAATCTGAGTGGTTTTGCACTGCCTGTTCGTAGTCTTAAAACTTTTCTTGAAAGCCTGGATTAAATGTTGTTTGATATTGCTGTAATAGCTACTCAGTGAAACCTCTAATTTGAACACAGCTTTATTTTTATATAAGTCTTGGAATTCTAATAGTGTCTCTCAAAATTTCAATTTAGAGAATTCTGTATGGCAAATCTAAGCCAAATGACAACATGCCTTCCTTAGTTTACCAAACCAAATCCTCCTCTTGGTCTCATGACTAAAAGTGGAAAATGACCAAGTAATATGTACATAGTAAGTATACCAGTGTAAGCCACTCTGTAGTGACAGTTTTGCTCAGGGTATCATGGTCAGGCTGCTTAGCTGGGGCTTATTTTCATGTTTGTCTGGTTCCAGTTGTGATGGCTGAAGATGTTACTATCCCCAGCTGCTTTCCTGGCTCCCTTGATGGGAGGGTTTTTTGTTTTTTTTTTTTTTTTTTTTTTTTTAGATCTTTCAGCTCAGCTCTTAGGAATCCAACCTAGTTTCAGAGGTGAGTGTGAGAGAAGTTAGTATTAAATGCTGGAATAGGTGTGTGTTGGGTTTGTGGTTTGTTTTTGTTTGTTTGTTTTTTTAAAGAAGCAGTCCCTCCTCCCAAACTCCCTCTTCTCATACATCCACAGGCTTGTACACAGATGGCCTTAGAAGCTGCAGGCATTCAGTAGCACTGAAAATAGAGATCAGCATTGGCAGATATGTTGTAAACTGCGGAAGAATGTGATGAAAAGCTTTGTTTTATTTTTTTGCTACTTAAGTAACTGTTTTCATTTGCATTGGGATACACAGGAGAATCCTGACATATGGTTCCTGAGACCCTTTCCACCTTCTCTGCTTAAAGCACTTGCTCTGAAGGCTATGTACCTTCTGCTGCTCCACTCATCTCTAATGGATAATTTGATGTCTGACCTAACAGCTGTAGTACATGGTTATTTAAATGCTTATCGGACTGCGTCTGGAGATCACCTTGGGAGCACGAAGGTAGGTATGTTTGGGCTTGTTTCTCTGGTTAGTGATTTGATCTAAGGCTCTGGATAAATTCTGGAGGACCTAGCTACAGCAGCTTCCTTTTCTGCAACTGTACACCCTACTTTATGCCTGTCCTGGTTTCTGCTGGGATAGAGTTAATTTTCTTCCTAGTAGCAGGCATAGTGCTGTGGTTTGGATTTAGTAGGAGAAGAATGTTGATAACACGCTGATGTTTTAGTTGTTGCTAAGTACTGCTTATGCTAGTCCAGGACTTTTCAGCTTCCCATGCTCTGCCAGGTGCACAAGAAACTGGGAGGGGGCACAGCCAGAATAGTTGATCCAAACTGACCAAAGGGCTATTCCATACCATATGATGTCATGCTCAGTATATAAACTGGGGGAGGGTTGGCCAGGGAGCAGTGATCGCTGCTCGGGAGCTGTCTGGGTATTGGTCAGCGGGTGGTGAGCAATTGCATTGTGCATCACTTGCTTTGTATATTGTTATTATAATTTACTATTTTACTTTCTTTCAATTATTAAACTGTTCTTATCTCAACCCAGGAGTGTTTCTGACTCTTAGTCCTCCGATTCTCTCCCCCATCCCATTGGGGTAGGGGGAGTAAGCGAGCGGCTGCGTGGTGCTTAGTTGCTGGCTGAGGCTAAACCACGACAATGCCACATACCTTGTTTCCTGTGTGCAGCAGCAGAAGTGATGATGTCTGTATCTACCTAGTTGCATTTCATGTTAGTCCATTAGCACAAATCTACTTCATGTTAGTATTGTGGATGGTGAGCTGCAGCTATTAAGGCATGGGCACAGGCCCACGTACTTTCTGTTTGCTCTAATGTGAGACTGAAAACCTCTGGGCTCAATAGAGGGGTTGTGTACGTGCGAGGGCATGGAGAGGGATAGGCAGTTGTGAAGTGTTGGTACCTGGAGCTGCCAGAGTTGCTTTATTTTAGTAAGAGCATTTAGTCCCCAAATCTTGTTCTGTTTTTCTCCTGTCATCTTTACTGCTGAGCTGTTTTGCATATCCTGGCTGTTTCTGAGAAGTGTTGTCTCTTGTTGGCCAAAGATTTTTATTTCTGTAAAAGCATCTCTGAGTTATCTTGTCTTCCTAATTTATTCTCACATGTGTTATCAAAAAAAAAAAAATCAAGTCAAGTAACACTTTGCATCTTTGGTTACATAGAACCAGTAGTATTGCATGCCCACATACATTGGAGTGGCTCTTGTATGGTGGACACTTCTGTAATTGCTCATTAATTTTTAAAGCGGGGGGGAAGAGATTTCTGGTTAAGGAGCTTGACTTCCTGCACTAATGGAAAGAACAGGTCCACGCAAACCAAACAAACAGTGGTATTGGTGTAGTCTTTTTCTGTCTTCTCAACAGAGTAATCTTAGGAGGGCTTGCAGTAACTATCTAAGATATTGCTGGTATTAAATTCGGGTGAGAAGTGAATGATCAAATGTCCCCATTCATCACAAAGAGACTGAACTAATATGATTAAATCCTGTTATTGCCTCATTTTTGCAGTTGTAAATGTCTTGAAATATTTATTAGGAAAAGAAAATGCAGTTCTGTCTTCATGGAAGAAACTGTGTTTTTCTTTGCCCTGGTTTAACAAAGCACTTGAGCACAGACTTGAATCCTTTGGGAATTACTGAAGGGCTCAGAGCAGTAAATCCCATTATTGAGGATTTAGGAGGAGATTAGTTTAGATAACCACAAGAGGTCATAGTTGCTTCACAGATGAAAGAGAAGAGGTCATATCTGAAAACCTTTTATTTTTAGAGGAGAGCTGCCAAAAAAAAAAGGTTGTTCATAATTCATGGAAAAAAATGAGCTTGACATCTGATTTCCAATGTGAAATACATGCAAAAGTAGGCATGACACAGGGGAAAAAACCAGTCTGTTAAAAGTGAAAAGAGTACAAATTCTGTTTTGCATTGGGCTATTTGTTTGTAGAATTTTTTTAAAGTGGTACTCAGGTTGCTGAAGCCAATCCTTTTGTAAATCGATTTATTCCATAAGATTAGCAAAGGAATTAATCTGATCCTAGGCATTTCAAATGGCGTTTTGAAGATCTATATAATCACATCTGATAATCATACTTCTTGCAGTTGCTTTAGAAATCTTGCAGTATGGATAGTAAAAATAGCCATTTTCACCATCATTTCATTGTTAATCATTTGCTGTTGTTTCTATATCTTGTGAGAATATCACACAAACGAAAGTTTCTTCTACTTTATTTAAAATCTGCTTGCAATACATATTTAAACTCCAAATACAGAGTTTGGCTGAGTTGAATCTGGTCTGGTACTTCAGTTTCTTCACTGAGCAAGTAAACAAAGTTAACTTTAAGGGAATCCTTTGCAAGTTGATGGAGTTCAGCTTATCTGTTCTAAGGGGGGGGGGGGCGGGCAGGCAGGGCAAGCTAGCTTTGTGCCACTTCTAGGTTTTCTGGCTAGGTCTGTATTAATTCCTTGAATCAAAAAGCCTTTATTCAGATCTGATTCTCAGAATGACGTAATAGTCAAGATATTTATCCCCCCCGTGTTTATTCTAGTGCTTTTTCATGGATATTTAGAAGTTTATCCATCACTAAGGTCTATGTTATGCCTTCTGTGCACTTTATGGAGCTACAGTTGAAAGTTACCTGGAAAATGCTTTTACTGGACTATTTTACTTTTTACACTGACCAGTTACAGTTTACACTTGTGCTCCACCTTGGACCCTTGATGAACAGCAATCTGGTACAATGAGCTTTACTTCATCTTGGAGGTGGTCTCCAATAACAGCAACACTGGAGTTCCTACACATAATGACTCTGTTCTCCAGACGTCATCTGCTGCAGTTCCAACGCTATTTCAGCAGAAGTAATGGGTCTCCTTGGATTCTGAAGTAAATACCCATGCCAGGGAAACATTTTGGAAACCTGAAATATGTTACCTACTATGTACTCTCCATGCTGGAGAACTGGAAGAGAGGCCTCTGTTGCTGAAGCAGGACTGCAGCAAAGCCAAAGATAATAAATGCTCCAGGGCCATAAAGATATCTTGCACTACTTCAGCTTCTAAACTGGAAGGTGGACATAATTCCTGAGTGAACAGGAACCATCTGTGGTATATCAAGCCTTTACTTGAAAGTTGTGGGAGTGAAAGCCACTAGGGAAGAGAATCTCCAGGTTACCCTGGCCTCTTTGATTTACAAGCACTTGAAGATGACCAGATCTGGAAACTGACTGACTTCCATAACTCCAGGTAAGGAATCCTCTTCTGGGCCCTTCTTGTTCTGTTTTAGTTCTTGAATTGTGCTCTCTGAACCGAACCACCAGGTCTTCAGCCTTTTGACAAAGGGATAGTTTAGTTATGTAGACATGCCTTCTGTTGTGTGTCTGGGCTACGAAAGGGTTTGAGTATGTCGTACCTGACTAGAGCAATGAACAGAGCCATGCTTCCCTGGCCTGCTCTTGTTTCCTCTGATCTTACTGAGTGACATCATGTCACACAGAAGAATGCTTTTTTTTCCTTCTCCCATTTACCCAAACTTATGACACTACCATAGAAGCTATACTTGCAAAACAAGTACACAGATACAGTTTCAATCATGAGACTTTACTAAAAATGAAGTACTGAAGTTGGATGGAATATATAGCCACATTCCTTCCCATCTCCAGCTGTCACATGTTGAATCTCAGCTCTTGGATCAGGGTTTACAACATTGAACTTCAGCTTGGACTAGCATGATAGCATCCTCCTAATCTTTCCTGGGTCACTGCCACATCCGGAAGTTCATAATGCCAACAGTTTTTGTGTGTGTAATAACATTATCAGGGTATACTTGGTGAAAAAGAAGCTTTGGCTTCCCAGTCTGAGGCTGCCTGTTAATTGAATAATGCTGAGTAATGACCCATAATGTTGAATAATGACTACTGGGGCAGTTACCTACTCTCTCCTTCTCTTGTCAAATCAGGGGGTTCAGCCTCTGGGAGCAGACCTGGACCAGACTGTGTTTTCTCCTCTTGGAAACAGCAGCAAGGAAAAGTGAATATGCATAATCATGGAGTAAAAGCCAAGCCTGTTCACTTGTCCTTATGGATCACTGCATCCGCTGAGAGTTGAGGAAAGACAAGTGTGAATAAGGCTGATGAATGTAATTGTTCACCATCCTTCCTTGGGCTCTGTATGCCCAGTCTCCGCAGTCCATTTTTCACATGCATCTCTTGTTCCTCAGTGAGAGTTGCTGTATGCTCTAACAGGCCCCCATTAGCGGCAGAATACGAGAACCACTTTCTGGCTAAATGCACAGCTCCTGCTAGGGTCAGATCATCCTTATGGCCTTCAACATATTCAGGGGTGCTTGATTTCAGACTTACGCATAATTGCATGTACCTGCGTCTAACTTTGCCTTGTTTCTTGAACGTGCATGACTGGTAGGGATTTTGTTTTGTTCCAGCTTATTTCAACAGAAGCTTGTACTTTCCCTTCAGTTTTCATAAATAATTTGATGGGACCAAAGTCCTAGGTTGTCAGAAGCCATGGATAAGCTGGTAGAAATGGAGATTCATGACAGTTTATTGCTTTCACAGCAATAAACTGGTAAGAGCAGAGCAAGCAGCAGTTACATATTTTGTGCAAATAGTGTGTTTGAGTCTGACTTGGATGTCATAATTCTTGTGAGCAATTGCAGCAGTCACTGGTGGTAGTCCTGGTTTCACCTGAGGTTTCAGCTATCTTTTCCCCTTGATCTTTCAGATGTTTTGCTGGAAATGGCAAAGAAACAGAGTCCTTACGGTCAGCCAGTAGGCAGCCCTTCCAGCAAGACTTCCACCTTGCTTTTGGACAGCCTAACACATTCTTTTGTCATTTGATAGTTGTTTGAGCAGTAACAAAGATGTACTGAGGAGCTGGCCCATGAGCTGGTACGCTAGGTGGGAGACACGCTGTCGAGGTGGCAGGATGCAACTCCATGCAGTAGAGCTTCCTTCAGGAAAGGGTTACGGAAAAGATGGGTGTCATGCATCCTAGCAGTTGCTAGCAACAGTGAAGTATTGCCAGTGGTCCACAGCAGCCAAAAATGATAATGCAATACCCTGGTTGATGTAGTACTGGGAGAAGAGAATGAAGAGGAAAATGGAGAGGAAAAAAGGAAAAAAAAAAAGGAAAAAAAAAAGGAGGGGGAGGGAAATAAAAAGAAGGGCATCTCATTGATTCTGACAGTTTAGAAAATGTATGTTGACACTTTCTGTGGTTTCTTGTGTCGTCACCTGCAAGTAGTGGTTGAGTGTTCTGAATAGTGGACACTCCCTCCTAAGCAACTGAGTTTTTACCCACAAACCAGATGCAAACCAGTAACCTCTAGTCCCCAGCGCTTCATTATCAAAGCCCTCAGCTTTCCTGTTCAGCATCTTTCTCAAACTGATAACCTTCCTTACCGCTGAGGGGGAGAACTCAACACAAACTTCCCACCCTGAAGGTCTCTGCAGTTTCCTCCATTTTCAGCATAACTGTCTGCCAGGAGTGACTATTCTTCTTGTGGATGCAGACATGAAGTAAAATGGGTTTCCGTGCCTCTGCAGCTCTTTCACTCGAAAAGAGCTAGTAAAAGAGCTATATGTGCTACATTTCTACATCTCCTTGTAGATTCATATTGTGTGTTGTTAGGTACTTGGAAATGCAGCTGCATTCTGATGTTTAGGACTTAGATTCAAAGAAGCAAATGCAGCCTGGGAACCCATGAGTGTAAAGAAGCAAATGTTCTCCTAGGAGTGCAGTGCTTTCTTGTTCAAGTGGTGGTAGTTCACAAACAAGAGCTCTGGTACCATAGGGGAGTTGCACACCCCTGTGCAGCAGAGTTGATGTCCCAATGCACTTAAGGTAAAGGTGCAGTAGATAAGGTGCAGTGCAGTATGTAATACCAGATAACATGTTCATGACACATGATGGCATAAACTGTGTTCTCTGTCTAAATATAACTGAATGCCTGAGCCAGAAGTTTTCATAACTGGCAGGTGAGTTGGGACTGCACACAATGCATATTAGTCATTATGAACATAGAGCCTGAATTTTCACGCAACTTGGCTTTAAGCGGTTTAGGGCGCGGATTACCTCTCACTGCAGGATACTGTAGCAGTTAGGAAGCTGGATGTAAATTCTTCTGGGTAAACAGAACTGAAGGTGGCGTGTTTTCAAGTAAGTGCTTGCTCTGCTGTTTTCTGTAATCCTGTCTGAATTATTTAGGCTTCCTCTGGATCTGTGCAAACTTCTAGACATAGGTTTTCTGAGGCATGGCTTCCTTTTACAAATGCCATGGTAACTCTTTTCCAGTGCCTTACATCTGTATATCCACTCATTCTGTTCTTAGTGCTTCTACCAGCATGCTCATAGAGACATCTGACTTGCCAACATGTTGTTTCCTGTGTCTTTCCCAGGATCTTCTTTAAACATTTACCATCTTCCAATCCCTGGATATCAAGGCAGGTTTTAAGCAAGATACTATAGTTACTAGTTCAGCTTTTTCATCTTCCACTGTTCAGGAATTTGGGGTGAAATCCACCTTGCTGTTTCTATTTCAAGTATTGGTATTAAGTATTTATGGGACAATCTGAAACAGATTCTGGGTACATAATGAATGTTTTTGGTAAGGGAATCGCCACATTTTTTTATGCTGAATGGGGAAGAGAAAAAGCTGTGTTTTTTACCATGCTGCTTTTGATTCTGATCATCACTTGGCCCTGCAGCATGGTTGACATTTTGTGCTCTTCTCGTGTTTAAAGAAATTGTTTTCATTAGTTCTATTTTTGTTAAATATTAATAAAATTATTCTGTCCTGCCCTTTTGTTCTTTCTGTAACTTCATCCTTACCATCTTCTTCACTTGGATGGGGCTTTGCTTTCCTGAAGGATGCTTACTTCATAGTCTCCATTCCCCTAACCTGTAGTACTGCCAGCGTCCTTTCACTCTTTCTGTGATCTTTTGCTGTTAAGGTAGTGTTTACTCTATGCTGCTTGTATGATGTCTTGAAGTTGTCTCCATGCTACCTGCTAGGATTGAATTTGCTTGGCTGCCTCTTACTACATTTTAATCAAGCTTCCTTATTTGTGTACTTCTCCTTTCTACGGCTGAATGCAACTGTGGATTTTTGTTGTTGTTCCTACAAAGATGGTGAGCATTGCAGGCCTTTTTAAGGAGTAGATCCTTGAACTTAATATTTTGAACAGTGTCCCGTGCACTGCTCAGGAGCGAATCAAGGAGTGTATCTCCTTTCATGTACTTCCTAAGCAGCTGTTTCATTGATTTGTTAACTATGTTGGCTTTTTCCACATAAGGCTTCTTTTTTTACCCATAGGATAGAATATCATGGTTTTAAATGAAAAGCTGGGAAAGCTGCCTTTGCAGTAGCTCCTACAAGCAAACATGAACTGGTTATGCCTCTTTTGGGGGTTTACAACAGCTTAATAGACCAAAAGCTTTTTCAGGACACATCTAAATCCCATATGTGAAGTGTTACTTATATCTTGGAGATCTTCATAATAAAGGAGTCAACAATAAATGCAAGTCTAATATTTTTCCCCTTGGGTTGCCTTTAAAAGAAAGAGTGTGGGGGGACGTTTTTCCCCTGAGGTATTGTTTGTGTAGGCAGGTAGCTGATACATTCCACAGATCTAATGAGATGATTGTTCTGTTCCATTGGCTAATTACAGAGGGAGCTCTTATCTGGTACTCACAAAAGTAGAGCATGTGTATGCATATGTATTGATTTGATTTCTTTTCTATTTCTTTTCTTTTTTCCTTATCAGCCCACTTGCATGAAGCTGCCAGAGGAGCTGCGTCAGCTGGCAGACATCCAGAAGCTTCGAAGAGAGAAAGCAATAAAAGACTACAGAATGAATGAGGATGGTCTTTTGATCAGACCAGCCATGGAATTAAAAGAGAGAAGTGATCCACAGAAGGATGGAAACTACGGAGATGATGGGGATTGCTTTCCCAACAAATAAAGTGGTGTCTCAAATTACATCCTTCTACAATCAGGATGTACTTTGTCAAGAAAAGCTTGAAAATCAAAATCAACTGGTAAATCTGTGGAAGAACCTTAAACCAACCTCAAGCTGGCTGTACGAATCTAACTTCTGAAACAGGTGACTTGATGAGCTTAGACTGGGTGTTTGAAGACATCCAAATGAAAAAAGGGGCTATTCCCCATGTAGAAGTGTCAAACAAAAGCTCCTTTCTTTACAGTGACAGGTAAACCCATTGTTGAATGGAAATAATGATGGCCTTTCTTTCGAAGGAAATTCCTTCTGTGTCTGATTGTTCTTCTCGAGGTCTGGTTTTGAGATCCATTTTTTTCAAGAGCTATTTTTGATTTTTAAAATGGTGACTTTTGTTTTTCTTGCATTGTTATCAGACCAATGTCTTAAATTGTATTGGTTCTTTTGGTACCTGTTGCAGGTATGTATGTATCTGGATTGGATGAGAGTTTTAAACAGGGGAGCTTAAAGATGTCTATTCATTGAGATTAGAAAGGGTTTGCTTGGAAAAATTAAAAAACCTTCTGGCCAACCCATGTGGGCTTGGTTTATATACAGATAAGTCTCTTGGCATAGGTACACAAGAGTCTTTCATAGGAGACTGAAAAAGATCATGCCCTAATGAACCACTATGCTGGCAAAAACAGCAAAGAGGTGTATTCATAAAAAGGACTTTTCTGCCAAGTCAGAGTTATTTTAGGCTAACTGAAAAAAGAAGCTTCCTGCTGCAAGTTGCATGTCACCATTGTTTGTCAGCACTACTGTACCAAACTCGTGTAGATAAGGCTGTGTAACACTAATGTGGTGTGTATATAGACAAGTGTATGTAGGGGGGAAAAAAAGCAGTTGAATTAGTTTAAAAGATGTATAGCATTCCACTCCGCAACCAAATAAGATATAAAGGCACAACCAGTTTATTTCCAGTATACTTGCTTTGGCTGGTATTCACTAAAAGTAAAGCTCCTCCAATTGATGGTACTATTCCACCACATGACAAAATTAATGCAGGCCATGCCCGAGTCTTGGAACATTTTTTTGGCATATAACTATACTTGACTTGCAAGCACAGGACTGTTGAAAATTCTTTGCTTTTGAAATTCTGAATTTATATGCATTTATGTATTTAAATACATTACAAAAATAGTGCATGTTTTGCCATTCAAATGTTCAGACGGTGCAGAACATCTTATTCAAGTATAAGGAAGGTTTTGTTCTCAGGGTCGTGGCTGTATCAAGTGAATGCTGGTGAACAACATGAAATAGAGAAGAGTGGGAGAGGTAACGGTCACTGTCACATCCAGATCGCAGTCCCAGAACAATCTGGGCATCAGTCTGCAAATGGTTTAATAGTAATGAAGCCAGGTTGCAAGGGACATGACATCTGCACGCGAGTATGTACCGATACCTGTTGGAGCTGGTTTTCTTTGGATGTAAATTGGTGTGACTAGGTGCTTATGATGTATCTGTGCGTTTCTTTTAAATATTGTTAGGGGAAATGTGTGTTGGGTTTTGGGGATTTTGTTGGTTGGTTGTTGGTTTCCCCCCTCTCCTCCTCCACAGAGAGTACGAGACCAGCAGTATTTAAATAGGTCTCTTCTTTGAAACTATAGGTGGCACTTGCTCACTTCTGGGAGTGGCAGAAAAATTGGAAGAAAAACTTCCAAGGTTTGCTTTTTGTCAGTACATTTTCTGTATTTTTCTTTTTTTAAACCCTTAACAGTATTCTGTAATTAAACTGTATAGTTCCTTTGTTTCAGTTCACTTTAGAAAAATAAACCAGGTTTGAAACAAGTTTGTCTTACAACTTTTTATTTGGAAATTGAGTCTGTGTTCTATTTGGTCTGCTGGGAGATGCTGGCAGAGGACTGGCCCCCTCTCCAGCACTGGAGCTTACGTCATTCATCTGGAGCAAGATTCTTCCAAGCAGTGATGCATTATCACAAATCAGTGAGGTACGATGTGGAACATGCCAGCTCTTCTGAGCCAGAGACAGCTCAGGAGCACTTACGTTATATTTCCACAACTGAAATAATCTGGGTCCATCCAGTCCTGTGAGTAGACAGACAGAAAAAATGGCAATATATCAGATAATGGAAGGAGGGAGGGAAGTGAAGGCAGCAAGTCTGGGATGCAGAAGAGTAGTCTAGAGTGTGCCTGTGTGCAGGATGCAAACTAGTTGCTAAAGGCACCCTTCTCAGACACTGAGCTGCAAGTTTTACTTCCAAGAAGTAAACCTCTGGCTGGAACTATAATTATAATGGAATAAGGATTTCCAGACAGGGACTTAACAGTGTAGCTGCCATCTGTGCCACTATATTGCTTTAAGTAGCAAAACTTTGCTGGGTAAACATGGCTGCAACTTTCCCTTGTTGTCTTTTGGCAACGGCATAAAGAAAATAATTAGACTGGAATGGAGTCATCGCTCATTGATGCACAAGATTGAAAATGCAATTTTCTTAAAGGAGAAAAAAGTTGTTTTTTTTTTTTTAAATTACCTGCAAGACCTTGACATGCTGCTCAGTGCTGGCACTCGTTTTCTAAGCTTGGTAGTAACGTGTGACAGAATCACGTACATTTCTTAAACAGCATAATTGCTGTTTGTAGTTAGGGATGGTAAGTACCATAACTAGTTAAGGACAACACTGTAGTGAAGTTTTACTGGGGCAGTAGCAATGATCTTATTTCCTCGTAACTGTGGTACCTACCTCTGTGACACACAGCTTAGTCAGGAAGCGCAAATTTCTATCTCTAGGCAGTAAGTGATACGGATTAATCATTCATTTAATGACTTACTGTAAATGTACTACTTAATGCGTCTGGGGAGACAGCGGTGCTCAGCAGCCAATGGCTCCACCGTGTTTACATTGCAAAGTGTCCGCACAATTAACTTTCCAGGCCTGTTTTGTCCTGGCCTCCTGTGATGCAATTCTCCAAGCATGACGGAGGCCATGTGGTAAAATGCACGTAGCTCCCCCGAGCACCCACTTCTTGCCCGTGTTGCTTGTTAACCGTGACGGTGCGCCGGCTCCACCGCCGTCGGCACCTCAGCGCTCCCGTCAGTCTCG